GAGTGAGACAAGGTGCCAGCTTTACTCCTCTCCCCTAGCAGATGCCTTATCCTCCCTGCGCCGGGTGAGAACATTTCCTCTGGGAGCCCTACTGTCCAACAACCCCCACCCTGCCACCCTGTTTTCTTCCTGAGTTGAGAAAGTGAACGGCCTTGGGTACCCTGCAGGAAGCACTTGCGGTCACTGACCCACCAAGGGAAACGGAGCATCTGCAGGCTTCCTCCAGACTTCTCCAGGCAAGCGGCATGGTAGCCCAGGACAGGCTGCCTGCTGCAAGCTGATACTGCATTATAAATGAACAATTAAGTGTTGGAAGCATGTATAAAGATAGCAGGTGTCTGACCAGCATAGCTCCCAAATAGGAGCCCAGCACCATCATCTCAGCTGCCATAGCATTCTCACTGCCCTGGCTAAGAGGCCTCTTTACAGGGAAGCTGCAAAGGGCACAGACATGCTACAAAAGATTTAAATTCAAGTGTCTTTAACCTTGTAACAGCTCTGGTTTCTGTCCTTTAGCTCATGGCTCTCATACCCAGCCCTCCCCAGCAGCTTGCAGTTCAATGGATGTTGGTGCAGTGGCCAAGGCTGGGGTGAGGGAGTTCTGCAGCCACAGCAGGAGATAGTACCCCCAGGCACCACAGCGCAAACACACCAGAGGCAGCAAGGCACTTAAATCAGCAGAAACACACTGCTGCTGGGTGTCCCGCAAGTACATCTACCTGTGTCCTGAGCACAGCTTTCAGCAGAAGAAAGACACACTCCTGTTTATTGCAGGACAAACTCAGGAGTGTTGCATGCAGTTTAAGTTTTACTGGAACAGATCTGCAGGAGACACTGCAGCAGGGAAGCAGCCCCACAGCAATTCATACCAGCATGAAGGAGAGGGAAAAGCAGGGCATTTTGATACAGGGGTATTTGTCACTGGTGTCCCAGGGTAGATAAGGACAGAAAGACCAAGAACCCAGAGCCAATGTGCTGGTCATGGTAGATCTAGCGCATTTACAGCCCCCTTACAGACCAGCTCCCCTGCCCCAATACTGCTTCAGATACTGCTGCTAGCAGATAACCTGAGCTGAGAGCAAGGGAGGACAGGGGACTGCCGGGCATTGACCTCCAGCAAGAACAGGAAGGCTGGAGACTTTCCGCCTACAACAGCAAAAGCATGCATTACACAGAGGTGCTGCAAGCATCCCTGTCCTGGAGTAACCAGGCAGAGGCCAGGGCAGCAGAGACACAGCAGCCCACACTCCTCCCAGTGCAAGGTCAGGCTAGCAGGAGGCAGGTCAATTTTTAAAACCCAGAGAAAGGTTAAATGCCCAAGCTGCTGTGTAGTGCTTCCAAAGGGGATGCTGGAAGATGTTTTGATAAGTATTTGCTGTGTAAGGCTTTATCTGAAGGCCATACACACACATGCTCACCACCTTGCTGGGGACTGTGCTATATCCAGGGTTGTTTTTCCCCCCACACTATCCAGAGCAGAGGTACATCACAGTGCCATTAATCTTTGTGCTGCATTGACCCAAACATTCGGTGTTACCCTGCAGCTGCTTCCTGAGATTGCAGCCAGGCTACCTGGAAGGCTCTCTGCTCCATCAGCAAGATGGGCTCCAGCACCACCTCCAGGACTCATACAACAGGTCAGCCCTGGGAGGGCAAGCCCAAACCTGGCTGCTCCCTCTCACACATATCCAGTGCTCAGCAGCACAATGCCCTGGTCAATCCCACACATCCAGCACCAGCCCTCAGAGACTGCAACCATATGCCTTGCACTGCCCAGAGTTGTGCTGTCAAGCCCCAGCAGCAGCAATCTTGGATTGAAAAGAGACTTGGCTTTGAAGAGAGGTTATTTCTTACAGTTAAAAATTGTGACCACGACAGGCTTGGAGGGTCAGCAGCAAATAAATTCAGAAACTCCAGTTCATGAATGATGATATTTTAACAGACTATCACTTAGGAGGGTAAACAACCCATGAAGGTGGATTTTTTTTTTTTTTTGAACAATGATGTTTCACATGGTTTTCCATGAAATTCTCCTGGAACCAACCCAATTTCTTCTCTTCCCTACCAGTATAACTCATAACAACCTCCAAACACCAAGAAATAACCTGGCACACACAGGTGGCCCTAGGTCAGCCCAGGCTTTTCAAAGCTGAGGCCACCATGGGCAGCTGGGTTGAAACCTGGAAGAGCAACCAGCTGTGTTTCTGCAGCACTGATTCTACACTGCCAAATCCAGACTGAAAAAGCAGCAAATACAAATTTTAGTGCCAATATAAGAAATTCTAGGTGGTGCCTCTGAAGCACAGGCCAATGAGCCTAGAAGCAGCATTTGCCCAGCACTCCTTGGCAGGCAGCTGAGCCTCAAGCCCCTCACCAACAGGTTTATGACCCTGACTGTATACCAGGCCTGGTTTTACCTCCATGATATCATTGCATTTGATATTCAGACATCATTAAATACTAGCAGACATTTCAAGAGCTGTTCTTATGAAGCAGAGGGACTGGGATAAGGTGATGAAGGTGCAGTTGGCAAGTTCAGTAACACAATGGAGGAATAGCCCTGGGATGGCTTCCAGCTGACGTAACATGTCTCTGAGGAGAGACTCTTTGGATGCACAGGTCTGTAAATCCCACCAGCTGCAAACAGCTAGAAATGGGTCATAGAGCAGAGACCAGAGGGACATTAAAACACTTTGCTGGGCAGGTGCACAGCCATTGGGATGTCCCTGGCTGCTAAGAACAGGGACAACAAGCACATGCACAAGTGAAGCAGCTCTTTGGAGAAAAGGGGAAGTCAGCCCCCACCCCAGCTCAGCAGCAACCTCATTCTCATGAGATTTATGTTCCATGAGTTGAGGACAGGAGCATAGCCTTGGTGACAAACAGGACTTCAATGCCTCCTCAGATAAGCAGCTTGTTAGAAGTTTCTGCAGTGAGAAGAGAAATGCCTGAGATAAGACAGCCACTACATTTCTCCCTCAGCTTGTTCTCCAGCAAGGAGACGCCTGCTCTCAACTGGGAGAAACTGCCAGAGGCTATCAGGAGACAAAGCAGCAGAGAAGCTGGTTTTACTCTGCTGCTCACTTTGCCACCCTGTGGACCATCACCATCTGCACAACCCACCTGCTTTCAGGGAAGCCCTGCACAGCACACCCATAGCTGAACCCATGTTAGCTGCAGCTGTGCTGCACTAGCACATCTGCATGCAGCTATGCTTGCAAGCATGAGGAGGATTTAAACTAGCAGCAGAATCACACAGCTTTAAGTGTGAGCCAAGACAAACCCAGCTTCCTAAACCCATAGCCTCAAGGCCCCTTCTGTTCTCTGCAACTTTGGCCTTTGGGTCCCAGTACAGGGTCACATTATTCCCAGAAAACCGCTCTGGGATTCCTACACTCCCTTCAGCAGCCTTGCTCTGGAAGTTTCAAGGCTCACTCCCCACCCCCCATCTAACCTGAATTCCCTCAACTAATTTAAGGCCCATGCTGTCTCACCCACAGCTGGCACACAGGCTACATCCCCTTCCTTGCCATCACTGTTTACATATCTCACTATTTACATTTCCCTTCCTCCAGGCTAAGCTGCCTCAGTTCCTTCCACTGCTCCCACACCTCAATCATCCCTGCTTGCTCCCAGGCTGTCTCATCTGGCCATCACACCCAGAACAGTGCTGGTGCTACCACAGCAGCTGAGGCCTTCACATTAGAAATTAGTAACAGGACTCAGGGCCAGGCCACACCACACTCCCAACTCCACATAACACCAGGCTGGCTCAGCCAGGGTCACTGGTGCTCAGAGACCTCAGCCAAGCACCGCTCTTGCTTCCCAGTGCTCCTGCCCAGGTACAGCACTAGCAGCTGTCTCTGCAGAATTACACAATATTTGCTTTCACCTTATTTGCCCAGTGTCCTCTGCTGTAGCCACAGCTTCCATCAACCCCAATGGCAAAGAGAGGTACACATCTCACTAAGCCACTAAGGAAACATTCTCTAAGACCCAGCAGCCTCACTGCATCCCTCCAATGACACTAGCTATGCTTAATTAATTTTCCAGCCGATTTTAAACCCATCTGCCTGCTTGGAGTACTAGCAAAAACCTCAAGACAACAAATGTTTTGCTGTCTCTGGTAACTTCTCAGACTAGATGTTTCATAAGTAATCCAGCACTTGGTGCTCACTGCCTAAACAAGTACCAAAACAGTTTATTTCTGGCTGCGAAGAAATACCCTCTCCTCTCAAGACTGGGCTCAGGCACATCTCAGGTTTGTGAGGGGTTTTTTTTTTTTTTGGCACATTGCTGAGACACCCAAGAGATAAACACATTGCAAAGCTACTGGGAGTCACACACTGGGCTCAAGGGGGTCAAACTCCAAACTTTCCACATACCTGCAGAATTACCTGCTTCAATATGTCCACAGCCTGTGCCAGCAGCTTTCAGTGAGCAAACAAGCTACAAACTCTCCAAGGCATTTCAAATACTAAAGGTTGCTGAAGAATACAGTTAGCTAAGGAGCTGAGTTTAATGCTCTGCAAGCATCTTTTCTCCTCATATCCCAACTGTTTTATCATGATTTTTCAATAAAAACAAGTTGAAAGCACATCCAGTGCTTTGCACAGGTAGTCTTCCAATTGCTGTACAGTGTATACAAGTATGGATATAAATGCCTGCAAATTTTATTAGAATCAAAGCCCTTAACCATATCAGAAATTAAAGGGAACACAATGAAGTAATACAAGAGAGTTGCTCTGGAGTGAGAATGCATCTAAGTTGAATACAGGCATTAGACTGCTTTAACTTTGCATCCAAAAAGCAGTGAAGAAGTTTACATCTTGCATAAATTCTTGCTAGATAGAGCTGAACACACTTTTTTCCCCACAATTTGGTAGAGAAGGAAATGAAGCCTTGAGTTTAGAGTATCTGAATTTGACAACATGGAATTTAGCCTGCAACTCCACTGAGGTAACTGCTTATCAAGAGGTCACTGCCTTACAGTCCTCCATTTTGTCCAACAAGGAAATTGCACAATACATCCTTCATAAGAAAATATTTACCCAGAAAATTGAAACTATTGTTGAAGCAATTTATAACAATAGATCTTTCCTAAAAATCTGCTAATGCATATCTAGCAATTGTTTTTAGATCCTACACTCAGTGTAATTTAAACAGCATTTGAAACATTCCAACAGGAATCACATTGCACAGAAGCAGCAATTTGCTTCTCTAACATTTTTGCACACCTGCTTAAAGCCTGTGCATTTAGTGCACAAGTTTACAATGCCAAGCCTCTACATAGGTACCTAATAAAAGCTACAGAACAAAGTTCTTTGGAATGAGTCCAAGCATCTTAGTCTCTAGGCTGTAATGTCTTAAGGCTTCTTGCAGCTTTGTTTGCTTGGTCAGTGAAAGCCAGAGAAGTGCCATCCACTTCCACTCCTGGTTTGGAGTTGGTATCCAATTCACTCAGGTAGACTAAATCCCATTGCAGTTTCAGACAAGTAGACTGGTGATAAGTCAGTTGCGGGTCACTCCAGGCCCTTCTGGAAGGAGGGATGCAAAGAAAGTCTTGAAAAAAACCCATGCTGTGCTCATAAATGAAGGGTTGGCCTGCTGCAGTTCTTGTAAGACTTGTCCCTCATCAAGAGATGCCTCAGATTCATCTGCTCTACCTGCATTTCCCCCCTGCCAAAATAAATGATATTTGGTAAATAAGACCACTGCAGAAATGAGAAGAATCAGGTGTCAAATAGCATGTTCGTTACCCAAGTATCATTGTCAGAATACAAAAAGCTTGCAAGTATCCCCAGACAACCACAAAGTCAAAAAACCCAAACTGTACATTAGTACTACTGGTTAACTCATGCTGTGTGTCCAAGAACACTGTCTAGGACAGACATGAAGCACCAGATCAGGTGAACTATGCATGTATTTACAACTAATTAACTTTCACTGACATCAACCAGAAGCATCAGCTTGAAATGCAAGACTCAGATTGCTTATACACTCAAATCCTACCACTGTGGTACTAGTCTAAACCCTGTCTTCAGTTACAGAACCTGTTCAGCCTGTGACAGGCCACTCTCTCCATTACAACATCCTGAAGGACACAAGCAACTAAAAGAATATTGAGCCTGAAATATTTTGTAGAACAGAGGAATTAGCTACACCAAAGGAGGACTCAGGTTGGCAATTACTCCATCATGGAAGATAGTTTGACAAAAGTTTAGAGAAGTTTTTGCTACTACATGCAATTAGTAAACTGAAAGTAAAACTTCACATGGTTTCACACTCATGGTTTAAAAAAATACCAAGACAATACCTGTAAGTTATTGTTCTGGTCCTGGTTTATAGCAGCTTGAGGAGGAACATTGCCTGGGAAAGGCTGAACTGGTCTTTGTCTAAATGGAAGCCACCCAACATGGTGCCTGGGGAAGCCAATAGATTTTTATTAATACTGGTTAAATATACTCCTTCCTGTTATGCCAACACAGTTTAAGTAACATCTGACTGCTCAGAGCTGCAGACAGCAAGTTCAGCACATTAAGGTCTCTTTCTGCCCTGATCCAGTAAGTAGTTTCAAAGCTTCCTGGCAGCAGCAAACCATGAGGTAGGAGGGCAAGACAGAGCATCTGCTCATATTCAGAATAAGTGGCACTACATCCAGGTTTGCATCTACTTAATCAGGGCTCAGCCTGCTGGAGCATGCTTCTAGCGGTACAAAAAGCCTGCTTGTTTACCATGTTATGTACATCCCTGGGTAACTCCCTGTACTCACCCTAGAAAACAGCACAACAAAGAACATGCAAAAAAGCACTATCTTACCAAAACTAACAGGCCATATAGACCTTCTAAGAAGGTCTGTATCTTTACAGCACCTGCACCTTGTAATCCACAATATAAGCTGTTCAAAGTTACACTTCAGAATTATCAATAGTAAGATTTAAGGACTTTTAGTGAAGCAATTAACCTTCACTCTCCAAGTCTGCATAGAAGTTGGAAGAGCTGACAATTTGAGCTGCTCCAGTTTCAACTCCTGTACCCACTGACAGGAATTCAGAAGCCAACATCACTTGTTTCACTGGTGATCAAAGAATTTGAAGGGACATTATCTTTCTTAGACAAGACATGTTGGCATGTCAACTGACAGCCCATTATCTTTATTGTGCTTCTAAGACTTATCCCAGGTTTCCCCCACTAGAGAGGGTCAAAGGCAATACAGGACACCACATTTGGTTTAACCTTGTCTGGTCTCTAGAGACAACACAGCAGAAAAACCTGCATGGGTACATGACTTCAACAGCAGGTGAGATATTCTTTCCAACAGACTTCAAACACTTGATTTCCCTACAAGCAACTATCATTTACTACACTGAACCTACATGTCTGCTCTACACTGCTGAGCTGCTGGTGGCTTTATACAGAGCTACTTCAGTTTCAAGTAGTTTTCTAAGAAGCCAGCCACACCAGAACCATTAGTACAAAAACCAGGTAAAATCATTTGCTATCACCCATTCCTCATTTAATCCAGTCATAGGCTATACTTATATTTTTACTAAATCCTGAGATATACCAGAATAGAGGAGTGGTTCACCCTTGCCAGGTACAAGAGTCATTTGAAGCTCAGCTGCCAGAAAGCTGACCCCAGTACAGAGCTCAGTACTTCAGTGAAGCATTTCTGAATACAATAGTGTTAATAGTATACTTACAGATACATCAGAACAGTGCCACCCATAACCAGGAGGAATCTGCTGACACTGGAGTAGAAATAGATAATGTTGACAAAAACATAGAACAGTGTTGCTGAGTAGAGCCAGTCCAACCAATCTCGATTGCCACCCTCTTCCTCTTCTTCCATGAGGGGACCCCCTTGGGCATTCATCTGCAAGTTCTGGTTGGCTGCTGCATTAACCTGGGCAGCAGCATTCTGGTTTCCAGGCTGATTTTGTGCAGGAAATGGGTCTGGGAGAGGAGCTGGGGGTGTCACTGGTGCCAGGGGTATCTCCTGAGAACATCGTGTATGGGATGGGTCAGCAGATGCATCAGTAGAAGCCAAGCTGAAACCAGAGAACACAGAGTACAGAATAAGGCTTAGTCAAATTCTTTTACACTTAACACAGGCCCTGAAAATTTGTCCATCTTTAAGTACAGAGTCATATCACATGCAAGTAGAAAGCATCAAGTTTAAAGGCTACAAAAGGGTTAAAACCAAGTTTTAGTTCTACCCATGACAAGAGTTGCATAGTGGCTTCAAGTCAAACCAGGCACCTTCCACTTTACAAACAATAGTTTCAATGCTTTGGAAAAAATCTTTAGAGCAACCTAACAGTAGTCTAGAAGGCTACTCCAAGTCTCAGCTTTACCTTTGCCACTGATTTCCAGTTAGTGCTCTGTGTGCTACTTTAAGCAGTCAAAATAAAATTAAGAACTAAGGCTCATCAGCAGGATTACACTTACTCTACAGACACCTGCCCTCCCAATCAAAAGAGTCAGAGACCTGCAATTTGCAAGATTTAAAAGCACTGGCCTAAACAGTAAACCAAGCACCACATGACAGTTAGAGGTACATTCCCACACCATTCAGCATAAGTTACAACCAAAGTCTTCCAATCACATTACATCAAGAGAGAAAGAACTGCCAGAAGCTTTCTATTTCCTTATTACAGTTTCTACTTTCTACTGATAGCTTTGGACAGAAAACTTACTATTGCATGTAATATTGTCTTGCATAAATCTGATGAAACCAGGACATCTGAAGCATGCTGTAGGCTGTATAAGCAGAGAAGCCAGAAGCCACACTTTGGAAGGGATGCTGAGTTGTTTCAAGCCTTGGTCAAAGTTTGAACACATTAATTAGCAAATACTGGAGAAACTGCAAGAGTCATTTATTACAGTACAATGTAAATAGCTTCTACCATTTTGTGCTTACAAATGCAAAATTAATTCTTCCTTCTAGAGTATTAAAGACACCTCTTTACCCACATGAATAAAGGGAAGATTTTCAAGTAACAGAGCAGTGCATTTTCCTTTAGCTTCTTTCATGTCCACTAAAGCTTTTTAATATATCCTCATCATCTTTGACCCACATTCAATAGACTTAAGACAGCATGTGTAGCTTAAGAGGCTGGCATCCAACACAAAGCCAACATTTTAAAAGTCTTAGTGATGTACATAAAAATTGTATTTACCTGTTACTGGCTTCTGTTGAAGACTGGCCACCAGAAAAGCGTATCAGTCTTTCACCATTTGAGGAAGATACAGATTGGTCTTGACTAGCTTCTGATAACTTTGGCTGACCAGCTTTAACCTAGGGACAGCAATGCAGTTAGTGAGGTTTCCTCAGGACACTACACAAGCCTTATGCAAAAAGCTTACACCACACTGAACAGGCTCTTATTTTATAACTGCTACACAGTTCATGCACTTTGTCCTGCATAATACCTCTAGGTACTCACATTGCTCTTGGGCACCATGCCACAAGCACCTCCATCAGTACTTTAAAGCTCCTTAAAGAGTGAATGGCATGTAAAAATGGCTTGATATTAATCTTCACTTTCACCAGATCTACACTGCATTTTTCATTTTTTTTTTTCCACATACAGTCAGGTCCCATCCAGTTATAAAAATGTAATTGGAAGAAAGAAGGAATTGCACTCCAGACAGTCTGACTCCTTAGCTCTGATGAGTTTGCACTTGCATACACAAACTGCTGCACACAGACAGAATTCAAGAGATGTTGTGTGGTGATACATCAGTATAATACCCAGATCAAAGCTGGCTCACATCTAGCAAACACCAGACAGGGGTAGGATAAGCTCAAATTGCCTAAAATAGGCAATATAAACACACCTCTAGACACATTAGCACATCCACTTGAAAGTAAAAATTGTTTTTTGCCATTTGCACTGAAGACCAGTAAGCACTCAGTTCAAGCACTAAGGCTCATCTTTGGCTTCCTCTCTAGAGGCTGAGTCATTAATAGCAGTTAAAATGTCTTTAGCTAACAGTCTTCTTCCTTCCCCACACCCCAATTACAGATCAGAACCACTTCCATGCTGTAACTACTATGTCTTCTGTCCGCAAGCAGAAACTCTGTCCAAAAGAGTCTGGGACATGACAGGTCATATTCTATTTAATAAAACTTAACTTACCAGAAAGCATTTCTCCTCTGAGCAGCATGTTACAACTAGATTGTAGTTTTGATATTTCTTAATAGATGCCATGAGAATCTTTACTGATGAACCAGGGTCAATTTTTTTTACTCAGCTTAATCCAAGTATGTTCTCACAATCCTAACCAAGTTACCACAAAGTAATACTGCCATTACACTAGTAGGAAAAAGGTGAGGTATCAGTGAACTTTAAAATAACCATTCAATACTTCCCATTTTTAGTCACGACCCCAAGATTCATAGTAGTATGTTAATATGAGTACCTCTGCATCGGTTTCTTGCACATTTACAGGAGTCTTGAAGTTGTATACCAAATGAAGAGCATGCAACTCCCCATGCTAAAATGTAACAGAAGACATGTTAAAAATATCACTTCTCCTGATACATTTCAGCACAACATAAGATTTTTTTTTAATACCTTTGGCAGCAACTCTTTCAGATGATGATGATCAAGCAGCAGCTTCCCAGAATAAATCAGCTTTTGGTCCTCTTCAGGCTTTGAAGAAAGAAAACAAACAATAGGATTACTTGCTCTACCAAGCACACACAAGCATTAACTGCCACAACTTGCAGCCAGATGGACAGAGGCACACAGCTGGAAGCACCCCAAGCATTAAGGTACATAAGAAATTGTGCACATCTAAATTCAGCTAATAAGATAAGAACAATTGAATACTGAAGTGCAACATTACTAACACTGAGGTCTAAATCAGCAGGAGGATATAAAGCACCACTTTCGCAAAGAACTTTGTTACATGCTGTACCTTTCACAGTCCAGACAAAAACATTTGTGTTTCCAAGAAACAAAGGTTTGGAGTACCATCTAATCTGATCAGCACTGGAGGCTGTGTCAAATAAATCTCTTGCACTCTATCAAATGAATTCCAGCAGCTGTTCACCTAGAACCTTCCTACTGAGCACAGCAGTCAGTAAACACATACTGATCTTGTTTCTGGGCAATCACTTCACTCCTAGGGAAAGGAAGGTAAAAAAGCACATCCTCCTGCTGGAACACTGTCAGGTGCAACAGAGTACAGCAGCACAATGCTCACCGAGCTTTCCTGGTGTCAGCTCACAAGACGCATGGCTTAAAAGGAAGTCAAACTTCAGCATTTACAGCATCAAACATCTTTACAAACCAGTTACCTCGTTATGCCTCTCGTTCAACAGGGAAAGAACTTTCAAAAGCACCCAGAAGGTGCCCCAGCCCACTCACTACCCCCGCGGTAGGTGTGATGTTCCACGCGCTGTCCACCTGCACACCCCGCCCCTCTGGCCTCAGCGGCCAGACTTGCCGACCTCGCCCGCAGCTGGTGCGAGCAGGCTTCCCGAGAGCGGCTGGCGTTCCCAAACACCCCGCAGGACACGCGGTCCCGGGGTGCGCAGTTAATATTTAACAGCGGCCGAACCAGAAACCAAGTCCAAAATAGCCCCGACGCGGCCC